TTGTTATCGGGTTGCGCAAAGTCTACAGAATCAATCATTATGAAATTTCGCATGTAGGTAGCTGAAGATTTCGTTTAACATATAGGCTATTCAAAAAACTAAAAAGGTTAATGTGCTTTTTTTTTATAAATGTAAAACCAAAAAGCGTTAGTTCCAGCCTTTTACCGCTTGGCACCGCACTGGTCGCGACGATAAATGAATTTGATTGGTTAAAAATTTTACTCGTATATATATATAAGATATAAAAATTGACCATGAGGGGCCACTTCAGGAACACCTCTTCGGCAACTTGGGATGTTCAGACGATTCCCCTTGTAAGTGGAATATCTACCAAAACTGCTGTTGTGGTACCAACCCGGATATGATATATTGCGGAGAGTCAATAGATGGCGCTTTGTATCTATTTTGACAGGAGAGGTAGCTTTGATCCATGTTATCTAAAGATACAGCAAAAGTACCCATTGATTGACCACCTGTTCCGTAAAATATTTTAAAAATTGATATTAGATATATAACTCTCCTGTGAGAAATATCCTCCAGGAGAAACCAGGATTATTAATGTATGAGGTCACTCATGGGAGGTGGTATTGCAGGTTGGCCATGCCATACAATCAAACAATAATGATGTAAACTATTTACGGACACAATGACATCACCTTTTCCGGGACAGTTATAGAATATGGTGATAACTTTACAGTAAAAAATGACTGATATATTATACTCATGGATAAAACTTGAGACAGTTTTAGCATGTATATCGGGATTCAGACAATAACTCTAAAAGACAGTTGATACACGATGACCTTTATTGAAGACACACGAAATAACCAAGTGTGAACAAAATTTCCTCTATCTCTTTAAAGAAAAAAACGATGAACGGCGACATCAAAGACATTCTACTTCCATAAGTTTTGTCCATGAGTGCATATATATATATATAACGTAAGATATTCAAGTGGTATTCATGTAACAAAAGCGGAACCTATCTTTTTGAAATAGCATCAAAACAATGCTCTTTGTTTGTCACCAAAGTATAAAATGTAATGATCGTGAGGCTTGATAAATCGGCCACTTCACCAGCTTTCCACAGCACCACCTTTTTGCCCTCCCCTCTATTCGACCGATTTCATAACTATTTTCGTAGAATAGTATGAAATCGTTTCTGTACTGATGCGGGCAAAATTCCGAAACCATGGATATAGAGGATGACCTTTTGTCTGAATTTTCCATATCTGGTGTTGTGTGTGTGGGTCATTCTTTATTACCGACATTATTATTTACAATACAATATAATGCGGCTTATGATAGTAGAACGACATTTGAAAATTATCCGCCCATGTGTTTATTTTTAAATAAATTTCGATTTTTCGTTCAAAAGAAACACATGCGGGATAGTTATTATTTATACTGGGATAATAAGCAGAATACATTGTTTAAATTAGTTTTTAAAGGGAGAGATGGCACTTTTGGTACATACGAGTTAAACAATCGAGTTAAACATATAGTTAAACAATCAAAAAGTGTTTTATCACTCCCAAGGAATTTCAACTATGTATGCTTTTATAGAAGTTGACGATTGGAATATATTGAATTGTAACAACACACACGTTATACAGTTTTAAATTCACCCTGATCATTATAAATCTCTATTTAATTTTTTCATGTTTATTTATATTTTATTTATGTAATATTAGTAATATATATATATTAAATAAACATCTTGCCTATTTTTTCACACGCTATAAGTAGTGTTTGTAATCCAAATATGTTTAAATATGGTATTATGTTTTATGAACATTATTTCCGTATTTTTGAATTAGGCTCTTGTTGAATAGAGGCGACAAGATTTTAACTGATATTTTAGAGCCACTATAAGGCATTGAGTTGAGCTCCCTTACTAAATATAAACACTTTGTTGAACCTTGATAAAGTATAATATTTATTTATTTTGTCCTACCGGGAGAATCCTGTATGGCACGTGTGCCTAATAAAGGCTTTTGTTGTTGTTGTGTTGTTGATAAAGTATAATGTGTTCTACCAAAAAATCAAACTATCAATAAAATAAACCATTATTTGATGATACAATACATCTTTCAAAATTATATTTAGAACGAAAATTATAAACAAATATATTTACCCAAAAAGATATGAAAGAATACCAACATCGATTTCGAAATTTAAAACTTACAAACATTTCTGAAGGCCAACTCCCAAACGTTAGATATCGAAATATTATAAATAAAATTCCCAGAGAAATGTTTTAATGTGGAAATATTCCAAGATACGTCAAAACCAGAAAGAAACAGTCAAGACCAGAAAGATTGAAAAGACGAGTAATAAGATTCCAAAATAGTTTCTTTAAGGCCAATATTATTTCTATATCTTTAACAAGTCTCTAGAAGATACAATAATTTTTTTCAACGTCAATATATTCCAAGATACCAAAAAAAAGAGGGAAATTTCGATAGGAGAAATGTCAAAAATTGACACCAGAAAGATAGAGAATATCCCATAGGTTTTCAAGCTATTTATTAAAACTAATTATATATTTCAATATCGAGCCTACAAGAGGAATATAAGAAATAATCTCTTTCTGGGTTAGGAAAAACAAATACCATCCATGATAAACCAACCTTTTACAACAATGGATTGAGTGCTGATTGTTTACACAAGATGGAAATCTTGCTCCATATGGAGTACTAATTCTTCGAACTCTTTTAAGTTAATTTATAGTTTTTTTCACCTTTATCAAAATACAATAACTTATTGGTCTTTTACAATAGAGAGTTATCTCGGCTGTTCAAAACAAATCTATTTATTTTTGAGACTAAGGGTCAATAAACAATCGCTATTATACTTTAGGGTGGAGAGTTAGTACAATATATTCGTAGAATATTTCGAGCCTTACACTCATGGACAAAACTTAAGAAGGTTGTACCATTTAACATGTATATCGGGATTCAGAAAATAATTTTGAAAGATATTTAATACACAGCCACAAGACACCCGAGATAACCAACTGTGAACAAAATTGCATCTGTCTCTTTAAAAATAAAATAGACGACCGGTGACATCAAATACTTTGAATTACATTAAGTGTTATGTATATAAGAAATAAATCATTATACGTACGAGAATGCTTATTTTCAAAATAGAACAAACATTTACTGTCCTTGCTGCGGTTGAGAGTTTGGCTCATTAATGGGGAACATTCCAAGCGGTTTCGTCAATTTAATCTACCAGACCGCTTTTTAGAGCTCTAATACTGTATTGGATCATTCTGCTTTTATATCCTACACTGAATGGTGGAATCTCAGTTTTTATGGTATTCAAGCAAACTAAGGACATAAGCTTTTAGGATAGTAAAAATACACAGTAAGGACAGCAAGAGTTTGATTTTTATTTGCAAATAAACATTCGTGCTTAATTGTGTTATTACCTTATATTTAACCTTAAATCTCTTTTACTCAACTTTCCGCTACGAAAAATATGGATTATATTTTTCAATTAAAAAAAATATATAACTCATCTTTTTTGTAGCAGAAATTTGAATACACCGATAAAAGAACGATAAATTTAGAAAGCTTGAACAAAAATGTGGTATTGAAAAGAAACTCTTCATCTTAATTAAGCGTCACAAAAGTGTAATAGTGATTAATCATTATTCAAGATATAAACATACATAAGAAATGAAAACATTAGAGCACGAATGTCTCTTTTTAAAGGTAAAACGAATTTCTGCTATCCTTACTGTGATGAAAAAATATATTGGGAGGGCTTTTTAACATCGCAATAAGGAGAGTAGAAGTTTGTTTGTTTTTACCTGTAAAAGAGACATTTGTGTTTTAATGACTTCATTTCTTATGTATTGATGGCATGTTATTGTCTTTGATTAAAAAACATAAATCCTTGGTGCCATTTAAAACACGAGAGCTAAACATATAAGGATCATTTCTTTCAACGGGTGATTGTCCTACTTCAAATACGTTATTTGTGTAAATTTTGTACATTAACAAAGGCTGGCGAGCTGCCAACTTCTGGTATTAATGTAAAGGCTATCGCATAGACCAAATAATTAAAAATGAAAATTAATTTAAATTTAATTATTTTAGGCGTTTTATTTTGAATTCAAAATTTAATAATTCAATATACACAACAAGAAGTTAATTTTATCCGAATTCAACTTTTCCACCAACCATTTCCACAGAATAAAAAAATAATAATGTTAATTATTGATAAATTTTCGATGATAATTTATAAAGGCAATTGTCATCAAATTAAAGTTTTATGTCAATATTATATATTCACACACAACGATAATATAAGATATTAAATTATATATATATAATAGTTTAAAAAATATATATATTTTTTATATATGAGAATATTAAAACTATTTTGAGCGCGCTAAGTGTTGAAATAATGGACCTTATGAATATTTTTCTAACGATGATGGAAACCAGCTTTGAGAATTAGTGTAAAATTTGACCAAGTAGAATAACTTCAGCCTTATTCAAATTCTCAGTTAGCCACAGAAATCAAGACGATCTTTAAAAAAGACAATACATCTTTCTCCGTCAAAATATACGCAAAAACCTTACGTCATGGAAGAGTTGTCATTTTGTTAAGGTCAAATTTCTCCCAGCAAAATTTGCATCTATATTTTAGCCATAAAAAAGAGTCTTATTACCTTACTAGCTAAACAACTCTTTGGCCAATTAGGAATTATTGACATTCTTGTGGATCTCATGAAATCGAAATCACTCTAGGCTCAAAAGTGCCATATTCCGAAACCATGGCCTCGAGGCGGGCGTTCTGAGTTTAACCAAGCTGGTGTTGCATCCTTTTTTTTAAAACCCGAGTGTGCTAAATAGCAGATATGGTCAATAAATAGTGAATAGGTCTTAGCATGGTACATTGCTCTTTTGATGAACAATCAGCAAAAACGCTAAGTTCTTATATGGCATGAAAATGTGGTACATGAGACAATCATTAAACAACGAACATGCCAGGATTCGAACCCAGAATCTTCTGATCCGTAGTCAGAAGTGTTAACAGCTTTACCAAACCAACTACATTCTAAATTAATAACATTAGCATATGTAACAATTAGAATGTAACAATGCATTATGTTAATCCCTTCAGTTCAAAAGGTGATAATAAAGAATTAGGAAAACACCAGCTTTGGCCATTTAGGACACTTTTACGTTTAGTAGTGGGGTGATGGACATAATACATTATTCTAATGCATATTTAGACTGTATATAGGCGCACTCTTATACGTGGAATATCATCTCACACAAAACAATAAACAGATCGGTTACCTTTTGGAAGTGTTAAAACCAGAAGGAGTTGGAGAAGAAACATGATATTTGCCTTAAATTAGTTCAAACGTGGAGAGTAATGAATGAATCAAATTTTAAATGTGAAAAACACGTCTATAATAAAGTTAAATTAAATTTATTTTAAATTTTAAAATTATATAATCTATGTATTAGGCTGCATATTAACGCCAAGTTTCATTATATTCCACCAGTCTGTGTATAAACACTTTCTATTTATTAAAAATATGCACTAGACCGCCTGAATGCCATCCCCTCTACCCAAATGTCTCGGAACCCACTAATGCCCCCCAGAAGATTTCAACACCCACTTTAGAGAAACCTCAGAACATCCTAAGACTCCTGATTTACCGGGATAAAGGAGACAACCACGGTAATTTTACAGTATTTACTCAAAATATAAAGCTACAAAATATAGCTCACGTTCTAATACTTCAAATTGCCCTCCACTCTCCCCAAGTAGTATTACAATTATCTCTTTTATAATTTCAATTATTCATTAAATGAGCGAACCTAAAAAGAGATCATAGCTTTATCAAATTATTTGTATATATATACCGATCCTTATTGTAAAAACATGTAAAATAGTAATACAAAATAAGGCGAGAGTTTGCACAGAAATTAAGAGATAGTCACAATGAATAAAAACACGAAAAGCAATGTGAGGAGAGGATGTATTGTGTATTGCCTTGTTATAAATAAGAAGATACTCTTACCTTAAGGATTATATCTTTAATCTTATTTATTTATCTATTTACAAGGTAATATTTAAAACTTAGAACAATTACAGCTATGGCGGAACTTTCACCAGCCTAAGGTAAACAACAACAGTCAATGTCATGATGATCGTAACGTACTCTCAACACATCTCCCCCTTTTCTCTAGAGGTTTAGCCTGTCTGGCGGCTTTACCACGCGTCCACTCCTGGTCTTTACTGGTTCCGGTGATCTCTGGAATGTCCTCGGTTCACTGTCACAAGTAGTGTTGTCCCCAGTAGATGTGAAGCACTGACTCATCTCAGGAGACTCCATCTCTTCATCTTCCATGTCAATCTTTTCACCCTGTGGGTTTGGTAGTAGGTGGAATCTATTTCTTCTTAAAATTCCTTTTGGAGAGTTGACTATATAAGATCTTGGACTTCCAGCGTCTTCAAGTACCACACCGGGAACTCTCAAGTCTTTCACCCATACTCTAGTTCCTTTATTCAGATGGGGCAATTCTCTTGCACGATGATGTATATCAAAATGGGTTTTCTTTTTGTGCCGTTGATCTTTTTCTCTCATTTCTAGATTTTCAAGATCAGGTATTCTTGACTGGAGTTGAACTGGAGATGTTGGCACAGTTGTTCTGAGTTTCCTGTTCATGCATAGTTCAGCAGGGCTGTACCCATTTTCCAATGGAGCGGTTCGATAACCAAGAAGAGAAAGATATGGATCTCTTCCTTTCTTCAACTGGTTTTTGATATTCTTCACCATCGATTCGATGAAGCCATTGCTTTGAGGAAATCTGGGACTAGATGTTATGTGGTGGAAACCATATTCTTTTGCAAATTTTTTGAATTCTAACCCAAACTGTGGTCCGTTATCTGATCTAACCTCTTCGGGTATTCCATGGCGAGCAAAAATTGACTTGCAATGTAGAATTGTTGAATGTGTTGTTTGATCCTCCAGCAATGCCAACTCTGGGAATCTAGAGTAATAGTCTGCAATTAGAAGATAGTATTTGCCCTTTAAGTAAAAATGGTCGATTCCTACTTTCTCCCATGGCCTGCTTGGGAAATCAGAAACAATTAATGGCTGCTGGGGATTAGATCTTTCTTCAATACAATTTGGGCAGTTCCTCACAAGTTCTCCAATTTCTTGACTGATTCTGGGCCACCACACAGATGATCTGGCACGGCCTCTACATTTTTCGATGCCAAGATGACCTTCATGGAGGCTGTTTAGAACCTTTGATCTGAGGGACTTAGGAATATAAATCCTGGAATTTCTCATTAGAAGACCATCTATGACAGACATTTCATATCTGAGACACCAAAAGGCTTTTGCTTCTGCAGAAAGCTCATTCTTTGTAGGCCAGCCCTTTTCACAATAATCTTTTATTTCTCTACACACTCTCTCTTCATTTTGATATTGCCAGATTTCTTTCATATTTTCATCCTTGAATGGAGGACATGAAGTGATCTGTTGAACAAAACTACAGATTTCATTCTCCAGATCTTTCTCATGCGATATCTTAATTGGGCTTCTGGACAAAGCATCAGCAACAACAAGGGCAAATACTATCTTTTGCAGGGCAGTCTTTATATGGATGGAATTTTGAAGCACCACATCTTATACATCCAGATTTTTCAGGCTTGCTCCACTTCTGAAATTTACTTTTCTTTGAAGCGTCTCCTTTCCCATTTGTAGAATTGAACCTTCTTGGTGGTAACTTTTTTTCATAGACTTGGTCTACATTGGCAGCCTGTGTTGTTGTTGATCGAAGAATAGTCTGTTGTTGCTTCACACATTCTGTCTGGCAAGCAGCTTGGATAGCCCTTTCCAAGGTCAAGTTAGGCTCTAGTTGCAACTTCTCTGAAAGTTGTAGATTTTTTACTCCTACAACTATTCTATCTCTAATCATTTCTTCTTTCAGAGATCCATAGTTACAATTTTCGGCCATTTTGTGAAGCACTCTTATGTATTCCTCGACAGCTTCTCCATCCTGCTGATATATACGATTAAATTGTGCTCTTTCAAAGATGACATTTCGTTTACCTATAAAGTGCTCTTCAAATTTCTTAACAACTGTTTCATAATTGTTTATTTCTATTTCAGTTAAATTGAATGAAATTAGAGCATCTTCGGCTTTTTCACCTAATATATAAATTAGAGCATTTACCTGCTCTTCCTCCTTTTTAGATTTTAACTCTGACGCTTTTCTAAAGCGTTCAAATCTTTTAATCCAATTTGGCCATTCATTTGGATTATTAAAATTAAATTGTTCTGGAGGATTTATATTTTGCATTATTTTCTTTTTTTTTTCGTTGTTTATGCAAAAATAATTATTTTTGTTTTTACTAGTAATTAGATTAGGCTTAGGGCACTATCGCCAATTCGCTGCCACCATGTATGGTGTATTGCCTTGTAATAAATAAGAAGATACTCTTACCTTAAGGATTATATCTTTAATCTTATTTATTTATCTATTTACAAGGTAATTATTAAACTTAGAACAATTACAGCTATCGCGGAACTTTCACCAGCCTAAGGTAAACAACAACAGTCAATGTCATGATGATCGTAACGTACTCTCAACACAGAGGACACATACGTATATACCATGTGATACGAAAGACAAGAAAACTTTTCATAATTAATTCTAAAATTGCCATTTTTGCAGGTAGGCTATATGATTATATTATGAATGGATTTCAACCTTTGTTTTTCAAATTAAATTTAAAAATGGTTTTTCAAACCACTTTTCTATTTCAACCTTTTTTTTTCTAGATATTTTTCCATTGTTTAATAATTTTGATTTTATTATTTACTAGCCGATGACCCGGGCAACGCCCGGGTTTTACCCGATTAAATGTTTTTATTCAAATACTATTCGTTACAATTTTAAATTGGCGCCGTGGATGTCACTCTTGTAAAACGTCCCGCTCCAAACTTTATTATGTTTTAAAAAAATAAAAATGTAAATTTTCACAACGATATTTGAAAATTGCATTATTTTGATTTTTATATCAATATATTTTAAATCTGATATATACTTAAAATAATGATAGCGATTTCTTCCCCCTTCGCCATCATTAGGTCACTCAAGGTCGCACCGTGGGAGGGCCCCACGTGGTCGTTTACTTCTCGAAGTTGCCGCAGTGAGGCGCTGGTTGTGAGTGAAATAGGGAAAATTATTTAATAATTTGTTAATAACTCAAGATAAAAGCCTGAAATTTCGCCTATATATTTTTTCCAGATTCAACTCTATATACTGTTAAAATTTCAGCCAGATTAGTTATGTATTGTGGACGTGTATAGCCGACAAACATATATATATACATACACTGACTTTTGTATATATATAGGGATTGTAAAATGTCACGCTTGAGTCCAAACTCCTACCCCAGTTGTTGTTAGATATAGGTGTAATGTGTGTTACCTAAAATAAAGGATCAAAATGTGTGTGTGTGTTTGCTTGTTCCATTCCACAATTAGTTAACCAATAACTTCAATTACGTATATAGAGGTAAATAGGGAAGGATTCATAGTTTCAACATACTTCTGAATATGCAGAATAGTCTGTCAATTTGCATATTTATTCCGGATACCTGGGCGAAGCTGTGCTATTGGTTTAGTCTTCATTATGGAATGATGGGGCACAACACTCAGTAATTGTAAGGTTTAATCTGTAATTCGTCTTTTATATGTTTGTGTTGGATCAGTATAGAATATAGAACTGGTCTAGATGATTTTTATAATCATATATTAATACTCCGATTCGCCCGGGTTCTTCCCGAGTTAATGTTTTCTCAACGAAGAATGCTTTAACAAATATTATTATAATTGTATTTAATTATGACTCTTTCTCTCTCTCTCTCTCTTCTCTCTCTTCTAAAGTGAAAAAAAAATTCTAAAAATAAAAATGAAAAACAAAATAATGATATAAATAATGCCACATTGAATAAATTCCTATATATAATTACTACTAATGGTAAATATTCACTAAGGGAGAAGCCGGGCGAAG